GTTCGAATTGAGGTGCGATTTGTTGTTTCGATGTTGTTATGTGTGATTTGAGCCCTCGAGTAGGTCCATGTTATGTTGTGGGATTTGTTGGAATGTTAGGACATGGTCCCGAAGGGCTCGAGCGTGTTTCAGACCATTTTTCTTCATGTTTTCAATGCTGGTGTGTTCTGGTTTCTAGTGCCTCAATTGGTCTTCGTGATCATAAAGTATGTGATGTGATTGCGTAGAGGAAACCTTAGAGCTGGCAGGTTCTTAATCGCGGTTGCGATTGGAGGACAGCGATCGCATACCTTAGAGATGGTTATTGTCCGCGTTCGCATGGTGTAGGCAGTGTTCACATGGTGTTAAGAATGGGCAACTGGGAACTGGAATTTCTTCTACTCATTCGCGTATGAGGTGATACGTTCGCGAAGGGTGGGAGTCTGTGTGCTTCGTGTTCGCATGGTTCAATTCACGATCGCGTAAAGGATTTGTTGGAGACACTATGGTTTGTTCTTCGCTTTAGCGGACCTTTGTACGCGATTGCATAAGGTATTTTCTGGGGCAATGCTTTTCCTTTTTCGCGATCAAGATGTTATTTCCACGATCGCGATTCATTAATTTGTCAAGTGATTCTAAAGTACTCTATTTGGGAGGTTTCAGGCATTTTTGCATATTTGGAGCTATGGAGCTCGGATTGAAGAGATGTTTTAGGACTTTCACCATTTGGATTGGGGTAAGTGTTCTCTACTCGGTTTTATTTATATTTCATGAATCTATCTTCATTTTTAGCATTTGGTTGATGATTTCAAAAGAGAAAGTTGGGGGGTTTTGACTAAAGTTTCATAGAGAAAATTCTTGAGTTTTGACCATCGATTCAGAGTCAAATTTGAGTGAAACTAGTATGGTTGGACTTATAATTGAATGAGTTATCGAATTTTGTGAGTTTTTCGGGTTTCGAAGTGCGGTCCCGGGTTTGACTTTTTGTTGACTTTGGGATTTTGATTAAAGATTCGACCTTTATCATTTGGAATTATTTCCTTGGGCTTCATTTGATGTATTTGAGTTACTTTTGGCTAGTTTCGAGCCGTTCGGAGGTCGGTACGAGCAAGATGGCATTTTTGGAGCATCGTTCGCCTTACTCGGTATTGGATTTCGCTTGTTCGAGGTAAGTAACACTTCTAAACTTGGTGCTGAGGGTATGAACCCCTGAATATGCGTGATTTGTGTTTTGTGTTGAGGTGACGCACATGCTAGGTGACGGGCATGTGGGCGTGCACCGTGCGAATTGTGACTTTGTTTTTCTGTGGTACTATGTAGTTACCTAATCTCATCTATAATCATGAAATCTCTATGTGGTAGAGTAATTGAGTTGTGATCCATGTTAGAAATCATGCTTAGGCCATATGCTGGAACTGTTGTGACCCACAGAGGTCGTGTTACATGTTGAATTAATAGCTTAATTTGAAAATTATACTCAGTCACAGCTATTATTTGCATATAATATCACAGTCTTTGTTGTCCTTTATCTATACATCATATCATCACTATTTGGGTTGATTATCATGATTCTTGTGAGCACGAGAGACTGAAGAGATTGATGACTTAGTGAGGCCGAGGGCTTGATTGTGAGGATATTTATGGGATCGGGTTGCATGCCGCAACATATTTATTTGATTCATGCCATGATTGGCTTATTATAGCGCTTGGGATGGAATTGTCGCTACGGAGTCTACACATCCACAGTGAGCGTAGGTACCTACTGAGTACGAGTGCGAGTGCCGAGTGATTGGGAGGACTGAGTGAATTGATACTCTGAGAGTATGCATATGGTTTATTCACTATGTTGTATTACATTCGACATGCACACTTGACATACAAATATAGAGATGCATTTTCCTTATGTTTTACGGTATCACGTCAGTCATGACTTCTCGTACACATTGACATGTAGGCATAGTGATGTACTTTTGTCATGCCATTTGAAAATGAAACATTTATATGTTGAAAGGTTTTGGGAATAAAATCACGGTTTTACAAACTTACTCATATTTTGATATTTTCGGTAAAAGATTTGGGTTTTAGTGTTTCATTTGAAAAACATGCCTATATTCCCGTAACTGCGAACGATTTGAACATCATACCTCTGGGTTATTTTGCTTGTACTATGAACCGTTGCTTGTTATTGGAGTTGGACTCTGGCCCTTGTCCCAGCTCGTCACTACTTTTAACCTAAGGTTAGGTTTGTTACTTGTTGAGTACATGGGGTCGGTTGTACTCATACTACACTTCTGCACCTTGCGTGCAGATGTTGGATGTTGATGTTGATGCGTACGGCGGGAGCTGGATCTGAAGGTGTACCTGCATTTCAGTTATGGCTATCATTTGTCCTTGGTAGCATTGGATTCGAATTCTGTTCATTTACATTTCAAATAAATGTTGTAATTATTTTACTTCAGTCTTGTAAAAATCTAAACCTTAGAAGCTCATGATTTGTACTACCACTCCTTGGGAAATTCTTGTATAAAGAAGTTGTATTATCATTTATTCTCTTAATCAATCTCATTAAATTTGATAGTTGTTAATTGGCTTACCTAACGGATTGGGTCTAGTTGGATTTTGGGTCGTGACAGTTCAAATCAACAAGTTGTTCCAATAAGGAATGTATAATGAAAATTACAATCATCTCCGCAAGTCATAAAATAGTAAAAGCACATACGGTGAGTCTTATTTAAGGGAATTGGGATCTAGAAAGCAAAACGATGTATAGCCGGTGTACCCACTCATCACCTTGCGTACACGACCTTCACATAACACAAATGCCATAATCAACCTAAATCCTAAGGGGTAATTTCTCTTACACAAAGTTAGGCAAGATACTTACCTCAAACAAGCCCAATCGATACACTAGAAGCTCCATCCTACTCAAATCATCCTCTGAACAACTTGAAACTAGCCAAAAGCAACTCAAAATCATCAAATAATGCCATAGGAAGCAAACCCAATTGATAAAGGTCGAATCTTTACATATTTATCCAAAGTCAACCAAAATTTTAAACTTGGGCCCGCACCTCGGAACACGACAAGGCTCACAAAATCCGAAAATCTATTCAATTACGAGTCCAACCATACTAATTTTACTCAATTTCGACTCCGAATCGATGTTCAAAACTCAAAACTTCCCTTTTGGAAAGTTTAGACAAAAACCCCCAATTTCTCTTTTGAAATCATCAATCAAATGCTAAAACGAAGCTGGAATCATGTAATATAATCAAAACCGAGTAGAAAATACTTACCCCATGGAAGAAACTTGAAGAACATCCTTGAACTCTCCCAATCCCAAACTTTCAGGATGAGATAAACTCCAACAATATTAATAACCAAAAATGCCCAGTTGTTCTACCTCATTTCTTGTGCCAAGAGATCCTGAAACTCGCTTTTGATACCTCTATGGGATTGCTCGTGGAATTTCAGTCAAGTTATATTTTTGAATCACTCAATTTGACTTTATAATAAAGGAGATATGTGGGTTTTAATATTTGAAAATAGTGCAGATTTTTAAATACGAATGCAGTGGCAATTTGGTAATTAATCTGAAAAATATGGCAACCCAATGTATAGTAAAATGACCATAAATTTCTCATACGATGTCGAAACTTGATGATTTCAGTTGCTATGGTTTCAAAATTATGATACAGATATAATGGTTTAGTTGAAACACGAATAAAAGGCCGTTTGCTCAATATGGTAACCTTTATGCTCAAATTGATGTCGAAACCGAAAACAATCACCATACAACCCAAACTTATCCATAACTCATCGCAATTTAATCAAACTTTGTGAACATGTCCAAAATAATCATAAAAACTTATTGGAATAATTAAAACCTGATTCCGAGTCCGTTTACCTAAAAGTCAAACCTTGATCAATTTTTCCAATTTAAAACGTCTGAAACGAGAATCATTCTTCCAAATCAATCCTGAACCGCTCGAAAACTGAAACCAACCTTACATGCAAGTTATACAACATAATATCAAGCTATTTGAAGTCTCAAATCACCGAATAGAATGCTAAAGCTCAAAACGACTGATCGGGTCGCTACAAATATAAAGTATTAATATCTTGTTAATACTTAATCAGCTTGATATAACTTCCATTATGTATTCCTAATAAATATTTAGAACAAGTATGAAACTGTATTCTCAGTGTTAAACCTTTTCGATAATCTTGTAGCTGTAACAATGATACAAATATCGTTATCAGACATAAGCCCGTGCACAAGGGTGAAACTAACTTGGAGAAAGGGGTTTTAATTGAATTCCTCCGCTGAAAATAACCCATTTTAAATAGGGTAAAAATTAGCTTTTCGAATTATTTATAAGTTGTTAAATACATTCGACATGAAAAACATTTATAGTAATGTGGTAAAGGGGGTTCAGAAATTGATCTACGTCACAAGTACAAATGCCAAATGTGACTCTTTTGAATCCTCTTATAGAAAATCTTGGCTCTGCTTGTCCGTTCTATGCGCAGGCACTAACCATTTAGTATTTTTATATAAAGGGGAGGTTAATAACCTTAATGGATAAATTATATGTCGTATGCATTTTTAGAATTTTCAAGCAATCACAAAATCTTAAGATATTTTGGGAGAATATCAATATTTAATTATACGAAGCAAATTTGATTCTATCTCAGATTTGGAGGAGAAAGTAATTTTTACATGTTAATACTTTGATTGTAATATTTGTTCTGCAATTTCAAATTTTATAATAAGAATAATAATGTGCTATCTCTTTTGAAATGTGGCTCTATGTGAATTTATTGATAATTAATTTCTCCCCTTAAAAAATCTTGATATTAAATATGATTAATTCGTGCTTACTATATAATAAATTGAATTTTAATTCATCAAAACTACTTACCATATGACATATAATTAGAAATAAGAAAGATTCTATCCATGCATGTATAAAAGAAGGTGTCTTGGAACCACTCTTGCATCAAGAAAAGAAGAAACAACTACTTAAATCTCGTATAGTAGTTCAAGTATGGCATCTCAATTTACTTTGCTTCTCTGGTTCATTGCTTCAATGTGGCTCATTCAAGTCTCTTTGGTAAGTTAACAGTTTATCTATTTTTCTTCACATTGTTAATAGAAGAATATAAATGTTCAATTAATCAAGAGTGACCAAGGTGTCGTTATGATTAATATTTGAATTGTGACTCCTATAATGATTGTTTTTTCTTAATTGTCTTATATTAAAACCTCTAAATTGACTCATTGTTTTCTTCCCTTTTTTGTGGAATAAATAGGCAAGACAACATTTTGATGCTTCGTTTTTGGCGAAACCTCCTGTTGGCCCAACAACATGCCCAGTTCCTACAGCTCGTATGTTTTTTTTAATTAGTAATTTATTTTGAATTAATTTTTTTTATTTATTTTGATTGATAACTCGGTATTTTCTTATGTATTATCCAGAATGTTCAAGTGCATGTGACCAACGATGCTCCGCAACATCACATAAGAATAACTGTTTAATGTTCTGCAACATGTGTTGTAATTGGTGCCAATGTGTTCCGCCGGGTACATTTGGACAAAAAGAGTGTTGTTCATGCTACAACGATTGGAAGACGGAGCAAGGGACACCAAAATGTCCTTAAAACTTGAGACCAATTCTTGATAATACCTTCTTTTGTGGGACTTCATATGTATTTTCTTGTTATGCAATGATTCTTATATCATGAAACACACATATTTATCAATAAAAATGAGATGATTTATACCCAAAAAATGTCTATGACTTATTTTAGATCATTTTTTTTTAAAAGTCTTTCTTTATTTATACTAGACGGAGACGGAGAGAGTAAATGTTTTATGGTAGGCTATTACACAAATTAACAAACTTCCATTTTTGTACTCTCTCTATTCTCTTTTACATATCTAATATACCAAAAATAATAATTTTTTTAATACTTTTTCACTTTATTAAATCAAGAAAAAATTAATTATTTTTTAATTTAGGCTTATTGTTACGTAACAATTTCTCGAACTCTGAGTACTAGTAGTCAAATTTAGATTTCTAAAATACCATTAATAAGAAAAATCTAGTAAATATAAGGAAAGTGTACACAATGCAAATTGAACAAATAGAAAGAATTAGCCCAAAGTCATAATCGGCCTTTTAAACTTGTATGAATTTTTCTGTGAGATACTTTAACTTGGATTTCTTTTTATTAGACACCCAAACATTAACAAATATGTCCCTATTAGAACTTTTTTGATAACCGGCCAAAAATAAAAAGTATGTACAATACACTCGTGGATGATATGGAAAAATAATAAATTAAATGAGGACATGTAGCATTTCAGTCCAAATATTATTAAAAGAATACATTTTGAGTAAAAAAAGAAATATTATTGTTAAATCTATTAATATAATAAATTTAACCAAAAAAGAAATGAAAAGCCTAATTTCTACACCCCCATCCAACCCACCCCCTTCTTTTTCATATTCATTGCAGAATCTCCACTCCACCGTTGCCATCCCCCCATACCGCCCATCTCTTTCTCTTTCCCAAACCACCACCAGTTTTCTTCCTTAGATCCTCCTTCCCTTCCCTTTCTTCTTCTTCTTCGTCCACCTCAGGTTGCCGCCAAACCATTGTCAAAGTCCGACAGAAAAGCACCATAGAATGTCACCGGACCATCATCGAAATCCGACGACAAAAGCACCCCAAACAGGTGTCGGGCATAGATCTCTCTCCCTCTTTTTTTTTTTTTTTTTTTTTTTTTATTTTTCTTTCGCCATATTTTTTGTTTCTGAAAACACTTGTGTAAAATATTCCATTATCCAGATCTGAAAAATATAAAAAATTTGGCCGAAATTCTCATCAATGGTAGCTGAAAAATTATCTCTGTTGACCCTCTTTGCTTCATCCATTTCATCTAATATTCAAATTAATGTTTGCAAAATAGTTAATTTTTTAAGAAAGATACAATGGAATCCTGAGAGAAATAAGCTTTCACGGAGAATAAGAAAGTACCAAAGGTGAATAGTGGCTGAGAATGGTGGTTAGGTGGCAGGAATTGAAAGAAGAAGAACAACGGGAAAAACTTATTTGTAAAGAAATATAAATGAGAAATAAGCGGAAAGGAAAATAATTATTTAAAAAAAATATTACAATAGATCCACGCACTCAGAGTAAGTGAATATCCTTTAATGGACAAATATAATCAAACTTGTCCAATATAAAAACAGAAATCAAATTCCATCTAAAAGCGGTGCAACATAATTCTCATTCAAATCCAAATAAAATCAGTTCTTAACAATGATCTAAAAGTTCCAATTACTTTGAGTTCTGTCACGACCAGTACTTCTCAACTTCGAGACCGTGATTGTACCTAATATATCACTTGCTAGGCAAGTCAATGTTAGATATATCTATTAACCATTTTTAACAATTTTCAAATTAAATGACAGTAATAAAATCGAATACTAAAATACGAAAATAAACTAATAAGTGATGAAATCCAAATACAAATCCCGAAATTGGTGTCACGAATACATGAGCATCTAGAATACTACAAATAATGATTTGGAATAAACATAACTGTCTGAATCAAAATAAACAACTAAAATGAAGTACAAGTGGACTATAAGGCTGCGGACGCCGTGCAACTATACCTCAAGTCTCCTCTGATAGCTAGATCCGAGCATGTAATGACCCAGCCGGTTATTTTGACTATTGTAGCCTTGATCCCCTATTTATTGACTTCTCTATGTTATATTGTGATTATGTGATTTGCCGGAGGTGTTTGGTTCTGATTTCGAGTGAGTTTCAGAGCGAAATGGGACACAAAGTCTCTAAGTTGGAGTCTTAAGTTGATAGAGTTGACCGTAGTTTGACTTTTATGTAGACGACTTCGGAATAGAGTTTTGTCCGTCCCAATAGCTCTGTATGGTAATTTTGGACTTAGGAGCATGTCCGGATGTTGATTTGGAGGTCCGCAGGTCGTTTCGGCGTAAATTGGCGAAAGTTGGAAAGTTGAAGGTTTGGAAGGTTAGCCCATTTAGTTGGGCCACAAATGATGAGCCCACTTCATTAGGCCCAATATGTCATCTTCCTAGAGGCCCAGTTTGGTGCCACGTGTCAAATGACGTGGCATGCCAAGTCAAACGAAAAAGCCAATAGGATCATGCCACGTGTCAAAAAGACAAGGCATACCAAGTTAAATTAAAAGGCCAATGAAATCGCACCACATGTGCAAGTGACATGTGAAGTTAGCCTTAATTTCTGTCATGCTGATAGTTTCAGATTTGTGCGACTTCACCAAAGGTATAATATCTTGATGTAGGAACCTCGGAATCGCAAAACGTTTGATTTCTCAGAAACTAGAGTTCAAGATCTACAACATATCCGAAATTTAGATTTAAACACTTTCAGGATCGTTCTAGATGAGTTTTTGAAGTCGGCTCTATATTCTAATACACCAACAGTTTCATATTTTCGCAGTTTTACCTAAACTTTTGTATCTCGATGTTTGGATGTCGGAATTGAAAACCGTTTTAATTGATAGAAATTAGACTCAGAGAGATTCGTTCTCACCAAAAATCATAGTCCATGCCAGATTGTTCTAGGCAATACTTTGAACTCACTTTTTGAATGTGACACGCTTTGGTAGGTAACTATTATTCTTGTACTTGTATTTTTTTTATGCCTTCCTTTTTGTTGTTGTAGGCAATGGAGATATCTTCGTCAATAAGGTTAGACGCATATAAAAAGAAAAAATCATGGAAACAAATTTAAGGACAAATCTTCAACCTCATATGGAAGGACAAATCTATGACGGTATATGGAAGGACAAATCCATGACAGCATATAGAAGTATCAAATCCATGACGACATATAGAAGTATCAAATCCATGACAACATATAGAAGGATTAACTCCATAACAACATACAAAAGGATCAACTCCATAACCACACATAGAAGTATCAAAAGGAGTAGTAAATTTGCAACAATATATAGAATGACCAATTCATGGTAACCTATGAAAGGATAAATCCTCGACAGCATATAGAAGGATCAAATCTGTGACGAGACCAGCTCAAGGTGAAAAAGGGACTTAAATGTCCACCTTAAGATTGGAAAATTATAGTTCCTTTTAAGGACAAATATGTGAAGAGGCCAACTTAAGGTGCAAAGGGACTAACATGTCCACTTAAGATTGGAAAATTATAAAGCCTCAACTTAAAGGCTTGGTGGATTTTAAACTTCAACTTGAAGAATTATCAGACTTAAAGATTTTAACTTGAAGATTTGGAGGGCATACATATTTCAACTTGAAGACCGGTAAATATGACGACCGACGGACTTGAATATTTCAACTTGAAGACTTAGAGGGCTTAAATACTTCAACTTGAAGACCGGCGAGCTTGAAAACCGATGGACTTGAATACTTCAAACTGAAGGCGTAGCAGCCAAGACAAATTCAACTTGACTTGGCATTAAAAAAACTTCAACTTGAAGATTTGGCCTTCTACCAAAAGACTACATCCATCCATCAGAGATGCCAATTTGCTATTGAGGCTTGCCCCCATTGAACCATCAATCTTTGATAAGGCACAAAGTTCAACGAAAGAATACATGTAAGCCCGATTTTCTTAAGTTCCAATTTTATGGATTATATTCCATCATGCTTCATTCGAATAACGATTGGGGCAATATGTATCTTTTGATCTCATGCGACTGAACTTAGAATGAAACTCTAAGATGCCTACGTACCTCAGTGAAAAGTATCAAGTCATACCATAGTTCAGAATGGATGAGTTTTCTTTTTATCCTAACTTTTTCCTAGGCCGCCTCTTTCGAGGTTTTCAACCTAGCGGACTTTTTTTTCTTTGGGACGTATACAGTTTATACTCTTGCGGGTCGGGAGTGTAGGAACATACAGTTTAGGCTTGTGCGTCAAGGAGCATTGCAACTTTAAGGATAATACTTCTTCAAAAACTTGCCATTTATAGGACCGATTCTCTTGCCATCTGCATCAACCAGCTTGTAAGCCCCACTTGAGTAAACTTCTTGTACGACATATGGTCCATCCCATTTTGAAGTGAACTTCCCTACAGGTTTATAGGAAGTAATAATGGGTCTTCGTACGACAAGGACTTGATCTCCTACTTGAAAGGATCTCGGGCAAACTCTTTTATTGAAGGAGCGAGACAATCGAGCTTGATAACATTCCAGACTTTGTTGAGCTTCCAACCTCTCCTCATCAAGAGCCTCCAACTCTGCTAATCAAAGTCGAGCATTTTCTTCATCAGTGATCCCTTCTTGGGTAGCTAATCGTAATGAAGGTTTTTGACGATCGAGTGGTAAGACGGCTTCGACTACATAAACGAGTGCATAAGGGGTCGCTTGTGTTGGCATGTGGTGAGTTGTCCTATATGCCCACAGAGCTTCTTCCATACGGTCATGCCAATCTTGTTTGGATTTGGAGACAAATTTCTTTAATAAGTTGCATAGAGTCTTGTTGAATGCCTCAGCTAGACCATTGGCGGCAACATTGTACATAGAAGAGTTACGTTGCTTGAAGCCAAAGAGATCACAAATCTTGTTCATCAACCTATTGTCAAATGGCTTGCCATTATCCGTTATTGTGTAACGAGGAATGCCAAGGCGATAGATTATGTTTACTCTGATAAAACTTGCAACATTTGCCTTCTTTACTTCCTTAAGAGCCA